ACAAACATATACATCAAACTAGTTTAATCTAGATACAACATGTGACATAGAAGCATATAGGAAATGATTATGCAATATGAACAAAAGTCTGCTAGAAGAATATAAAAGAAGTCTTAATATAATCTTCACAAGAAGAGTATATAAGGCAATGAACAGTGTACATAATAAAATCTTCTTCAATAAAGTAGTCAAAATATATGCAATACCTAGTAGAGAAAATAATATTGTTGCAGCACTCACAAAACAAGATCCAAATGAAGTAGCATTTCTGCAAATAATAAGAGAAATATTAAAAAAAGCAGAAAGAAAACAACCTAGAACAATCTGAAAAGAAGCTTAATTTTGTAAAACAGTACTAAGATAAAATAAGTATAAAAAAGGAAGAAGAACAACAACAGACAAATAAGATAAAGAAAAGACAAGAAAAGCTAAAAGAAGAGACAAAAAAAAATTGATGATGAAAAGGTTAACAAAAGTTTACAAGCAAATATCAAAATTGCAGAAAAAAAATAAGTATAAAGATAGGACAAACAAATAATAGCTATGTAGAAGCTAAATCATCTACTTATAAAAAAAAAAGAAGAGCAAAAAAGAGAACAATAACAAGAAGACATAGAGATGAATGAAAAAGAATTAAGATAAAGATTAACAACAGAAGAAAAAAAAGAAAAAAAAAAGAAAACAAGAAATCGAAAAAGAAATTGATATAGTAGAAGTACTACTTGAAGAAAGCATGTAGGCATCAAGCAAAAAAGGCTGTAATTAAAACAACAGTCTACTTGCAAACATATCAGCATATAATGTACCTAGAAAGACCAAAAAAAACATACAAACTTTATCAGATAGTTATTAAAAAATAATAAGTATATCAAAAATGTCAAAAAAGTTTTTAAAAGAGAAAATCTATAAATAGAGATAGACTTCAATAATAAGTATAGCAGAAGTAAGACAATACAAAGAATTAGCAAAAAAAAAGGACTGATACAGAATGATTGCAAAAAAAGAAAGAATAAACAAAAAGAGAAAGAAAAAAACATATGATAAAGAATATTAAAAGAAAAGAAACAATATATTAAAATTTTGGGATGTGGTGACCTAGTGAATGATCAGGTTGTCAACTCTTCAAGTGGTAGATTGGGTGTTCAAATCCCATCAACAGTGAAAATTTGGATAATCACCTATGTAATATTCATATTATGGCAACTGTTACTAATGATTAGATTAGAATACCTGTAATGGCGGTTACACTAGCATGACTGGCAGGTCATGGGGCATTTGTATAACAGGTCACATGACATTATCCTTTGAAACAAGGTTGTGATTACATGAAGGAATGCAAACTGGCAATTAGGCAGTGCAAACACTAGATAAGTTCTTGTGGCCATGTAAATCCATTGAAATTAGGTAACAAGAAGTCCATTTGAGAAGACCCAAGTAAAAAGATAGCCAGGTCTTCAATGGCTCTACTGTAAAGGCTAGCCTTATGAAATGGATACCAAGGTCAAAGTAGCTGAATAGGCAAAAACCTCTAGATAGGAGTACCACCAACCAGGCTGTCAGATCAAGCTAAAAAAAAAGAATATCAGGCTGATCTGATATACTAATAGACTGGTTATAAATTCTACTAAGCTATCTGGATTGGGAGTTTGGTAAACTGGCAAGGATATACTAAAGTATTTCGAATATGCTGTGAAGTAGATGCTAGGGTTTGTGTAAACTCTACAAGGGCATAGCAGTTTAATGATTAGCTTTAACTGCAGGTGTTGGTTCTGCTATAGTGATATCTAGGTCAGCTGTAAAAATGTGTACAGAAGGCTCTAGGGGGTTTATCTTGAGGATAAATTAGTCTTAAGGTTGAGACAATGATCTGGGCATCTGGGATAACCCAGTGATGTTAATACAGATTACAGGTTTAGAGGGTTTAAAGTAGAATACCCAAGCAGGGGTGTTAGATATGGCAATTGGTAAGAAACCTTCAGATGGACTCCTTAAATAGATAATATAGAAAAGTTATATGTGTAGCCAATTGTATGCTCTTCTGTAGTGGTTCATTGAACCACAATATCAATAAGTAATTAATAAAAGTCAAAAGACCAAAGAGGTTACCTTAATACCAAAAAAAAAAAAAAAAAACAATATATTAAAATTTAACAAAAAGAAATATAAATAACAAAAAGTAAAAAAAAACTAACAAAAAATCGAATAGATACTAAGGAAGAGAAAACACAAAAATGTAAATACATAACAATTTGGAATCTATCAGCAGATATAAACAGAAAAGAGATTAAATATGTGCAAAAGACTTAAAAAAGCATATATAACAAGAATCAAAAGATTCAAATACAAGTCTCTCACAATAGTTTAAGTAGAAGAATTAGAAGAAGAAAACATATTATGGTTTATACTAGTTAATAGTAACAAACTGGTAAGAGTAACAGAAGAAAAAAAAAATTATAAACCAAAACAAAAGCAAAGTCAATATACAACAAAAATAACAAAACTGTCAAGCAATGCTTTAGAAGTTTTGCTGCTACACTGCCTAAGAAGCAAAAATGTAAAATCAGTATACATTCTACTAAACAGAAATATGAATTAAAAAAAAATAGCAATAATTATATTCATAACAGAAAAAGAAATAAAGGCAGCTCAATTAAAACCAATTAGATATAACAATTTCTAAATATTTTGGCTATATGAAAAGAGGAAAAAAATAAAGAAAGAAAAAAGTGTTAAAGAAAGAGGAGAAAGAAGCTAAGAAAAAACTAGCCAAAGTCTGAACAAAAGATACACAGAAATAAGAAGTAATTATCAAATACAAGATGCAGAAGAGTAGTTAGAAGATAGAAATACTACTAACAGAAAAAGCTGAAACAAAAATAGTCAGGTTCTAAACAGAAGATACATCAAAATAGAAAGTGATCTTCAGTTACAGAATATAGAAGAATAGTTAGGAATCAAAAATGCTAATACAGAAAGAAATGATAAAAACATAATTAAAAAAAAAATAAGACTAAACACACAAGTATATATAAAAACAAGACAGATGAAAGAAGTCTTAGATCAAATCTTGAATAGACTAAATCGACTAGAAAATACTCAGCTAGGTATAAAAGATGGCCTGGCTAACTACTCTTAAGAGCATCCAAGTTGAACTTATGAATATGAATGAGGAGATCAGAGATTTTCTGTATAGTAAAAGAAGGATCTTTGAAAAAAGAAATAAAGAAAAATTTCTTAATTCCAAAAAAAAAAAAAAAAAAAGCAGAAAACACAGAAACAAGATATAAGCAGTTAAAAGGAAAATGAAAAAAAAGAGAAAAAAAATAAAAATTGCATGTCACAATGTTAATGAACTTAAGACTAAAGGTTGGAAATTAGAAAACTTGCTGAGCTGAACAAAGAAAGAAGAGATAGCATTTTTGGGAATAACAGAAATGAACATTATAGAAAAAGAAATAAAAATCTTGTTGCATAACCTTAATACAATATTTGAAGGTTACTGAGTGAGTGCAGTACTGAACAAAAAAAAAATGATTAAGTTTTGGGATCTTAATAGATAAAATCTGAAAAAACATGTTAGAGCAATTAAAAGATATAGTGAATATATGATAAAAGTTAAGCTATACTTCAAATAAATAGTATTGATAAGAGTGTATATTCCATCAAATAACAAAAGAATCAATAAAAAAATATAGCAAAAAATTGTAAAAATAGTAACAAACAAGAGAAAGCATACAGAAATAGTTATATTTAGAAATTTCAATCATACAGTAAACAATATACTAGACAGACTGTATTCACAAACAACAGATTATAAAAAACTGTCAATTTTTAATTGGCTTAAGAAGCAAGATTTTACAAACTCTTTTAGAAATTTGCATTCAACAAAGAGAGCATATACATAATAAGTCAAGAAATAGTAACAAGAATTGACTATATCTGGCTGTTAGAAACAATTGCAGCTGATCTTTAAGAAGCTAATATAGAGAAAGCAAAAGATATAACAGGCAGTGATCACAAGATATTAACAACAGTCATATGGTTAAAGCACATAATTGTAAACTAAAGTTGCGCAGAAACCAAACATAAAAACCAGATAAGAAAAATATATTTGTATAAAAAAACAAAGCAAGAAAACTGAAAAGAATATGCTAAAGAGCTTCAAGCACAATTAGAGTAGAAAAAAGTATTGAAGCAATTAGAAAAAAATATAAAAAGCAGTTTGTATAATACAGATATGCTAGACTATATATAGAATGCAATAGAAGAAGCTATAATAGAAGCAGTAAATAAAAAAATTCTAAAAAAAAAAATATTCAATACAAAAACAAACAGAAAACATTATTGAAAAAAACTACAGCAGCATAGCAGTTAGCTGACATATCGGAGATGATCATCATTACATTTGCACATATATATAAAAAAAAATTAAAATTTAATAGTAAAAATTTATAAAATATTCAATTTTTTTGAATTTGTGGGCCACTGAGACGTTGTACATAGATCATTTTCAGCTATAATATTCTTGTGACCTCCTACTATCAGCTATATGAATTTTATTAATGGTTAAAAGTGTAGTTGATAATAATCTTAAACCCAAAGGTAGTGATTGAATGTGAAATTAAGTAGTGTATTAATAAAACAAATTAACGAAATATGAATAGTTTTTTTAGGTTTTATGTTACAAAACTCTTGAACTACTATTTTTGGTCTTATTTCAGTGAAGCCTTACAAATCTGTGAATGAATGTGAATGGATCTTGTAAGTGATTAAACACAGAATAATCTAGCTTAAGGGTAGCATTTTGTGCAAAATCAACTGACATATAAGTTTTTTTTTTTAGCTTTATAGATTACTGAAGCTAGTTAGATGCTTCTTTGATTTTTTAGGCATAATGTTTTATAAGCATTTTGTACAAACATATAGGCTAAAATAATTGAACCCAAGAGTATTTGAATATAAAATTAATCAAAGCAGATTAATTTTGTAGTTTACTGTAAATGTCTCATGGAGTTTTTGGTTGCAAGACTTTTGCAGTATTCAAGATTTTTTGGTTCTGTCATTCTTCATGTATATTAAAAGAAGTTTTAAGAACAATAACTTTAAGAATTGATAAAATAATGCAGGTATGTGTTTAAAAAGATAATTAAACATGATTTTAGTGATTATTAATGATAATTTAAGCATTACAAATCAGTTCTGATAAAGCTATTAATTTTTTTGACAGTTCTTGGAGAATATAGTCTTTTATAAAAAATTAGCTAAAGATGAGAACTTTGGTGCAATATATAAACTAGCAGAATGCTATGTTTATAGTAATGGTGTATCTAAAATGAAGAAGAGAAAACTTTAATACAATATACAAATTAGCAAAATGCTATGTTCATAGTAATAATGCATCTAAAATGAAGAGAAGGAAACTTTGATACAATATACAAACTAGCAGAATGCTATGTTCATAATAACATCTAAAATAAAGAGGATGGAACTTTGGTGCAATATGTAAACTAGCAAAATGCTATATTTATAGTAATGGTACACCTAAAAATAAAAAAAAGAGAACTTTGATACAATAAAGTGATAACAGTTAAACTAGAAATGAAAAAAAGGCTTTTAGTTCTTTATATAGTGTGAAAATAGAATATAAAGTTCTTGCACTATAATTTATAGTTACTTCATTTCTTTCTTTTTATTTTTATTTTATTGTAATTTAAGTTATTAATTAGTCATATATTAATATAAGATAGATAATAATATATTAAAATAATTTTATACTTTAAATACTGTAAAAATTGTCAGATAATCAATAAATTATAAAATATTTGATTTATTATGATTAATTCAAAATATAATATATTGTAATTATTATAATTATTATTTTATAATTAAAAAATAAATAATTTATAATGCCAGTTTATACTTGAAAAGTATTGAAACTATATTTATCCTTCATGCTCAAAAACTTGATGTTTTGGATTTGCTTGACTGAGAGATAAAAAAGTTTTTATTTTTTTTTTAGCTTTTTTTATTACAAAATTAAAAATTCTTCAAAAAAAAAAAAGGTTCTATTACAAAATCCTGAGATCAAAATAGTATCCAAAATAATTTCCAAAATCTTGACAAATTAAAATACAGTATTTTAAGATTTTGGTAATATTAGAATTTTAGTTGTCTGAATTGGGTATCAGAATTTTAGTATTGTCGAGATTTTGGATATTATTCTGGATGTTGAGATTTTGGATGTTATTTTGGATGTCAGTCAGAATTTGTGTTAGAACAAAAAAAAAATAAAAAGACCTTATTTCATCTCAATTCATAAATCAAACATCAAATTAAATCAAACTAACAAAAAAAACTATTAAAATAACAATTAAAAATACCACTATCAAATAAAATAGATAATTCTTCACAATTTTCACAAGGATTCTTGCTGCTCGACTATAGCCAAGATAAATTACAAGAGGATTTAATAAATGTTAAGGACATGATTTCATTAGATGATGAAAAAGAATATGAGAATAATCCCATATTCAACTTAAAGCAAAGCCTATATAAGTATACTTTAGCTTCAGCAAAATTTGAAAATGACCCATGAAAAGAATTTTATGTGGAAGACATACCAATTTTGCAAGAAATAAGTAACAAGAAAACTGGCAATGAATATACTGAAGAGATTCCCATGATTAAGACAAAACAAACTACACTATGCATCATAATCAATAATAATCATGGAGAAATATGACACTGTAATAGAGAATCTGCTAAGGGATTGCAAAAATTAATTGGTGTCTGGAAAATTGATAAAGATGCTGCTAATAATGTTAATAAAGAACTTTATTATTTTGATGTATGTTTAAGACATTTTAATTATGATCAAAATACTGTGTATAGCAAAAATTTAAAAGACAAATGCTTGACTGAAAAAAGTGAAATCAATTGCTATATTTGTTTTTTTTGCAAAAAAAAAAAGTTTTTCTTTAGTCATGAAACAAGCTAGATAGAACATACATAGATTGTATATAATCAAAAACTACAAGTACCTTGTCATGGAATGGTTCTCTGCCCAGCTATTAATAAAAGCTCCTGCATAGAAAATATCCATAATTTACAGAAAGTTCATTATGTGTATTGTAAATATTATGAAAAGAATAGAGGGTATTTGCATATACATATGGGTATAGGTAAAGCAGACCCAGAATGCACTGCAATGCATTTAGGTGATACTAAAACTACGCTTCTTTATTTTGCAAAGCTAATTGAAATAGTGGCATACTCAGAAAATAATATAATAAAAAAGAATATACTTCAAAACCTCATTTCATGCATAGAAAATTTTAATCTGGATTTATCTTCTGCATCATCTAGCAAATTACTCAGCTTGTTTGTTGTTAATACAATTCTCAAAATTAAAAAAATTGATTTTTCCAAACAACAACTTATACAAAAATCCAAAAAATATAAAGAATTTAGAAAATCACTTGCCCTTGAAGTTTTAAAATTACATACCAGCTTAGCATATTATAAGTCAATATTAGAAAGTCCTGATTCTTTGCAGCAGTATTATGAAGTAATACCAAAATGCTTAACAAGCCTTTTTGATAGTTTAATTCATACTTTGCTATTTCAAAAATATAAAATTGTTAGACAAAAACAAAAAGAATGCAAAAGCATTATAACTGAATTTGATAAAAGCGAAATAGTGAAAAGCACAGCATACTTGTCTTCTATAATTTTAACAACTGTATTTAAAGACTAGAAATTTTGACTTTTACAAATAATTGAATCTTTCTATAAACAACCAAAGCTTATGACATACTTGCATAATGTTCTTCGTGCAGCAAATATAATAGTATATTCTAAAGATTACAAAGTAAAAGTTAGAAAACAATGAATGAAAGAAGCAAATGTGCAAAAGAACTAAAGTCAGGTCCAAATATTTGGAACTTGGCTGTAATAGACAATATCGATTTTAAAGAAAAAACATTCAGAACTAAAATTTGTATGATGATACATAGGATATAGCCTATGCAACTCTATATATAGTGTTCTAGTTTGAAATGCCTAATATTAATATAGCACCATTAGCTAGTGATGTTGAATTGTGTAGAAAAAATCCATTTGTAGAAAAGTAAATAGAAATCTTATTCAAATCTTTAGATGGTTAATGACAGAATATCTGATAGAGTTTACTATAGATGAAATAAACATTGCACTTAAAGAAGCAGTAGAAAGCAGATGCAAGACTTCACCAAATGTTATCATTTTAGAAGCTGGACCTGCTCCAAACAGCAATCTTGCAGTTCATAAAACTTGCAAAATATATATAGAAGATCTAAATTTGAATCAAGAAGACTCGTTAGACATTGCATATAATAAAGTTATCTTTTGCAGACTTACAGATTATTCTAATAATCGATTAAAACTAAATCCTATCCTTGGTTAGTAGCATATGAGCAAGAATATATGTAGTGCTTTAATCGTCACTTTCTCTGATTATGAATTATTCAGATTAGCATCTACACTTGGCACAAAATTCTTGGAAAAGCTTTAGGATGTTGTTGATTATCGAGCAATATTTCATGTTCTTGAGCTTATCTGAGCAGCTGTAGCTATTGTCATTCATATGTATATAGACAATCATAACATAATACTAGAAGATATCAAGAATGAAAATAATAATGTTTTGAAAGTTTGGTACTTATATTATCAATAGGCAAGTTGGTTTAAGCTTCATAAAATTGGCATTCAAATGGGTAATTTTGAAGTTCAATATGAATATTTGAAAGCTTTTGCTTTGCTATTTTCTATTACTGGAAAAAGTAGATATGCAGAATTAGTACTATGTTTTTTAATTACAATAGAAATAAACCCAATACTAAAAGCAAAACTTCAAGTGGTTGGATCTATAAATCTTACTGCAAATGAAAATTTCTTTGAATTTGATGAAGCACTTGAGTATTTTGACATAAAATTCATCAAACAAAATATGACTGAATGTCCAACCAACATAGACAACTTAAAATTAGTAATTAAAGCAGCCCAAAATGAAAGAGATCAATTGATAGCATTGTATGCGAAATACATAACTGACACCTGTTTAAGTAAAACTGTGCATGCAAAAAATAATCGTAAAGAGGCATTATGAAAGCTAGTAAATACACTTTACAAAGCAATTACCTCTAATGAACCTAAAAAGCATCCACTGTTTGAGATCTCTAGTCAATTAACATCTGCTGAATATGAATGCATATTTAATTATTATAATAAAAAGTTAGTTAGAATTACAAGGATCATTAAACAAGATATTTTAAAAATAGAAAAATGTGATACAAGGGGACAAAGATCAAAGGATTTGGTACCTTACTATATTGAAAAAAAGGCAGCTAAAAGTAAAAAGTGAAGTATAGAAGAAATCAAATAGAGAATTTATAACCAAGCTCTAATAACAAGTATATAAGGATTGTTTTAATGATAAAAAGTTTTTTTTTTATTAATAGATCTGATTAAAGTTGACTTAAAAAGATGTTTTATAAACTTTACTTTGTATATAGAGAGTGATCTTCTTTTATATGTCATGTTTCCCTAGATTTGTAAAGTAATACCTAATAAAAAAAAATATTTTCTTAAAGCTTATGCTTGGCACAACTTTCTCAAATATCTTTTATTCACTCTGTGTTTATATTCAAAAATAATCTTAGATGGAAAACAAAACTCTCTACTAATCTTAAGGCACTGATTATTCAACAAGAGATCTCATGAAAATGATCAAATAAACCACAGTTCTATAGTATAAAGCAGGTAGAATAAAGTTTTTAAAAAATATAATATATATATATTAATAAAATCCAAACTATCTTATTGTATAACTTATTATCTATATAATAAAAAATTTTAAAAATTTATAGTAGATCAATTTTGTATGACATGTTGGCTAACTGATATAAAACACTTGCTATTATCTTAAGTAGTACATTAAGTTAAATTCAAAATACAGATTACTTTAATAATGCTTAAATATATAGATGCCATCAAAAGAAAACTTGCTATCAGGCTTTCAAGTATATTTTGTGTACAGATTATATTCTGTGTTCTATCTATAATAAATCTATTATCAGACATTTAATTATATTTTTTGCCAAACATACCTTTTAAAAAATCTTGCAGTAATTATTGTATTATTACAAACTGTGTTATGATAAATTTATTTATACAACATATTGTATTTAAATTTCTGATTAGATTTTTCAGAGGTATGTCTAACACAAGATATAATTAAATGTCTAATGATAGATTTATCATAGGTGGCACAAGATTTGAAAGCCTGATGCCAGGTTTTCTTTTGACAGTATCCATATATAGATCATATGATATAATCATAATATATGATCATAATGATCATATAACAAATAATCATATATCATATAATTTTAATTATATGATTATATAATTTAGTATTTATAGGATTATAATTTTTCAAAAACAATTATATGACTAAGAATTGGCCAATACTAGAACTTACAAGTAGATTTCAGGTATAACAGCTAGTATAGAACCTTTGGGTAGACTATTTAAATTAGACAATAACTAAAGTTATATGAGTGGCTAGTTGTACACTTTTTCCATAGTTGCTCTCTGTGATTGTAATGCAATCATTAATCAAATATACTATCAATAAAATTCTGGGTCACAAGTACTTATCTTAATATTTAAAAAAAATATATATATATAAGAACTAAAATATTTAAATAGAAAATCTACAAGTAGATTTTAGATATAGCAACTAGTATAAAACTTTCAAATAAACTACTTAAAATAAACAATAACTAAACTTGTATAAGGGGGTGTGGCGACCTAGTGAAGTGGTCAGGTTGTCAACCCCCCAAGTGGTAGGTTGGGTGTTCAAATCCCA